AGGGGGTATAATAGTTTCTTTTTATCCGATAAAATCGGGGGAACCCCCCGTGAGCGGGCCAAACCCGGTTGGTACAAACAAGCTGGAAAGGATAATTTTTTTGAAAAATTTGTTTATAATAGGGAAAGGCTGGGAAATTTAAAAACCAAAAGCGCTGGGGGGTGGTTTTTCAGGGGGGAAGGTATTTAATAGAACCCCAGCTTCAAAAACTTTTAGCTGGGAGGGCCAATTTTCCCCGGGACTTTATAGTCCGGAAAAAATGGATTTCATCCCGGGGGGGGGGGGGGAAAAAATAAATATGATAAAATTTTTTTTCCCGGGGACAAAGGGGGATTTCATTTCTCAAATTTGGGGGGGGGTTTATAGAAATGGCCCCCCCCCCCCCCGCTGCCCAGCAACCAGGGCTATATACCGCCACGAATCGAACAAGGGTTCTTTTCTTTCTCCGCCATCCGAGAGAGCGCTTCGGCTCGCAATCCCGTATAGTAGCTGTATGGGCCTGCGATAGACCGATAGACCGATAGATTTGCTCTCTCTCTCCCGTGTGTGTGTGTGTGTGGATTATATCGGAGGATGAAATCATACTTATTTACACACATCTTGGTTGGAGCCAGCTTGCGAAAAGCAACCGCGCTGGGAAGGAATCGCGATCTCGCTAGCGCCTAGGATGGAAATTGAGCATCATCTGGTAATCTGGTGTAAGTTTCTATCTTACGGTTGGGTGTTTTTAATCCGATTTGCGTGGCTGGCCGGGTCTCTATCGGGAGTATACATGCCCGCGTAGTTTGAGGATGCGTGGTGGGTGGTTGGTGATATCGCTGGATTGTGGGCTGGGCTGGCTGGGCTGCTGGTATCGTATCATAATATGTCCTCGCTCACTTGTGAACAGGTGAGAGGGTGTTGGTGATCTAAGCTAATAGCCGTTGCGCTAAAGGTTGTTCGGCGGGATGTTAGGGGGAAGGGGCATGCCGGAAAAGGACTAGAAATCAGACTAAAGCGGAGAGCTAGGGGTATGATACATGTTGCGTTGTTTCATGAAATAACCTCCACGGTGGAGGGCCTAGAAGGGCAGAGATGGAATGATGCGGAAAGGGTTTTCTTCTGTAGCCAAGCAAACGCGGGATGTTTTGCGCGAGTGAGAGCCTGTGACTACAGAACCGGGCTCTCCGGAATATAAACCTGGACGATTCTCCTCCAAAGCGGAGGCTGGATCGCGGTGGATAACACTGGACACAGCTCAAGATGCAGAATCCCATATAATTTTTTTTCCCTCTTCTCCCTCAGGGACGCACGGCATGAGTATGAGCACTCCATCCTCGCCTCACGAAACCCCATCATCCCAACCCCTCTGCTGCCGTCTATGCGGACGATGCAGCTTAAACGGCCAATACCCCTCAACTTTACACACAGCGTCCCTAGCGCCTATGACCGTCTGGACCTGATTCGTGCAGCATGCCTGGCACCCCCCTCCAACTCTTCCTATTTGGCGTCCAGGAGGTGGTCCCTGAAGGAGTAGATGGGTGTGTTGAGAGTTCCTAAGGGTGTGAAGTCCTCTAGGGGAATGGCAAGGCTTAAGGGAAGAAAGCAGACGAGTTGGCTGGGATTAGGATATCATACATGAAAAGTTGCCTATACTAAATGGGGTGGGGGGGAAGGGGGGGGAGGATGGCTGAATATCGAGTGAGTGATCTGTGAATCCTACGGGGGCCCTAGGTCGAGATATGTGCTGATGCGTGGTGGGGGGTGGCTCACCGACCTGGGCCCACCATTCCCGGCCATACTTTGTTAGAGAGAGCAACGGGTCAGCTTTCCCAAAACCTGGCCCAAAGCTGTTCGGTGGGCGATACTCATAAGAGTAGTTTCATCATCAAATTCCAATGGAGTCGATATTCGAACCCCTAACAAGGGGCCACCATCAACCCCAAAGAATCGCTCGCAGGAAGATAAACCCGGGTTTGGGGCCGAATGACCTTATTCTTATTTTTTTTAATGTTGTCAACTCTTATCACTCGTACAGTGGCATAAAAGCGTCCTCTACTCCGGTGTCGATCTCAATCTCCTCCAACTTAAGTTCCCCGAGGCCCAATTAGGGAAACGTCTTCTCGCCAATGTTGGCCCCGCCCATTCGTGGGCTATATCATACCGGCATCATAATATGAGCCTGTAAAACCGAAAACCTGACTCTCGGGCTTTTCCATGTGGCTGGGAAAATGATTTGCAACCAAAGCAACCGAGTCAAAAAAGTTTTGAGATACAATGAGTTTTATGACAAAAAAAAACTTTTTAAATGATTCCCCTAATTCAAAAAAAAGTTTAATATTAATCTAAGGCTAGGAAAATTCAGTTTAGTGTTACTTAGTCAAATTTATGAATTAATATTTTTCAACTAAGTTGTATTTATAACATTTTACCCAATCTTTTATTATTTGTACTAGGTGGACAGCCATGCTTCTTACAGTACAAAGTAGCAATAAAACATGGGGAACAATTTACCACAAACTGAAATAGCTCAACAACTACTTAATGTTCAACTATTATTATTGGTTGAATATGAGTACAAGAGACTAAAGTGATTTTACATGGTAAAAAGTCAATTGTGAGTGTTTTGAGTATTTTGCATATAAAAGCTGCTACAGAGGTTGTTAGAGCTTCAAAAATATCTTCTGAGCTATTAGATATATACTCTATAATTATGGCCAGCTAAGTGGTTAGGCAAAAATCAATTTTTTGTGGTCAAGGTCCGAGAGTCAGGTTTTCGATTGTACAGGCTCATAATATTATGATGGTATCATAGCAGTAGTCTATCCGGGGCAAACACGCATTCAATTGACTATGATAGCTTAAGTTATACCATCACCACCTTCACCCTCACCCTCACCTCCTAGTCAGCAAAAGCCAAAGTGGAAGAAAGAAATACAGGAAAAAGAACCCATATGTACCCACAAAGTGTATTTGACATGAAGAAATTGATGTACGCAAAGTAAAAAGAAAGGCCGATACATGTACAGCAAATGATCCGGAGGAAATAGGAAAACGTGAGGAACCAAAAAAATCAAAACACAGATACTGTTTCTTGATCAAGGAAATAAAAATAGGAAAATAGGAGAACCCCACCGTCCAAATGAAAAATAGAGGGACGGAGAAAGAAACAGACAACGTAGGATGACGATGGATGGATTGTAAATCGAGGGCGGAAAACTCAGGTCCCCGTTATGAAGCTCCGGACAAAAGAAATCGGTAAATTACAGGGAAAAAAAACCCCTCCCCGAAGAAATCCGTTGAAACCCCCGCGCAGATGCTTCCATAGAACAAAAGAAAAAACGAAAGAAAAAAAAACCCTGATAGATAGATGGGTTGCAGTCGAGAATGTTGGAGGAAAAAATACCACCAGTACATGAGAAAACGCAAGTGTCGCGAAAGAAAAATAGAAAACACAGACCCAAACTTTTTCGCCTAATCGTTATAATCGTTTCGCATGCTATCCTAACCCTTTCTTCTTTTTTTTCTTCAACGCTGTTTTGTTTCAATAACCGTCTTTGTCCAAGCCCAGGGCATGCCAGCCCAACGATGCACTTTCGCAAATCTAAACCGGCCAGTTAAGAGAAAACGTTTCTTCAATGAATGCCCCGTTCTAGGAATTGTCTCTCTAGAGCTCCGTCCTCCAGAACCTTCCATTCAAGGAAAAGCGAACACTTCCTTGCATCCATACTCCCCCAATGATCCTGCGCCTTCATAGCGCATCTACATGCCCTCGAAGATTGGAGGAATCCGATTCGTCGAGCCGAAATTTCTTCCGAGCTCCTCGGCCTTCCTGTTAGAAATCTTTTTCCTCGTAGATGAACCAACCCCAAACCCCCTGTTTCCAGCCGCAAGCCGCCATTTCACTTTCTTCTTCCTCGTTTGCGTAATCGTCTCCCCCAGCTTCTTTTGATGTCCGTAGCCTGTAGTAAGGCTACTGTTAGGGTTTCCATGAAGATCTGCCATTTTCTGGGCATGCTGGATTTGTCTCTTACGAAAAGCCGTCACACTGACCTTATCCCACCTCGAGAGCATCTGTGCGGGAAGCTCAGCGGAGGGAGTACATTCGTCGTCGGCATCTGGCCCATCGCACACGCCATCTATTGGAGCCGACCTTAAGTGTCCGGTGCTGGAATCGTTGTCTGTGTGTTCGTTGCCGTCCTCATCGGAAGAAAGTTCGAGAAAGTCCGCGATCTTAAGGTTGGCTTCAAATTCATCAAGCTCCTCGTCCCCTAGCCCTTCGGCAACGAGCTCGCCTTCTTCGTTGAAGTAGGGATAGAAAGCCTCTGGGGGCCCTAGTATGCTGGCCCCATTCAAGAAAAGTCCATCACCACCAGCCAACCCACCGAGTGTCGGGCTATAGTCCATAAAGCTGGGAGAGTTTTCCCTTTCGCTTTCTTCCGCCATCATTACCATGAAGTTGGATGCACTGCCATTGCTATTCGTCTCGTCGACGGATACTTGCTTGCCTTTAGGTATGAGGAAGGTCTTTTTCGATCCCTCCACAACGCAGATAGGGCGATTTGGATCGGCAACCCAAGAGCCAAGCCTTGGGCGGGAAGCCCCATCGATATGAACAACTTGTGGACTTTCAGGTTCCTGGGATGACATCGAAACACGTCGGAGGATGGACTTGCCGTGGGGTGTAGGCATTGGGAGGTCCTCTTCTTCATCAGTAGTCTCTCCCGAGCCGCCTGCAATCAAGTGATAATCCGTTAGTAAAGGTATACTCCTCCGGATTTGAATTTTCTCACTCTCGTCCTCGCTCTCACTGCCCGCTGTTTCATCCTCGCCTCCTTCGTCACTGCTCCCATCCGATGAGAAGAAATGTTTCCATGGAATATCCACATCGTCATTTATGCCATCGGCCCATCCCCCACGCCCTTGGGTGCTCACCAGATGCTTGACAGCAGGGTCCTCTCTCTCAAAAAAGGGGTTAAGGGTGGGCACTTCGTCCTCGTCCGAGGATTCCTCATCACTACCTGCCATGGATGCAGGGAAATCACCCCTTCCACTTGGGGAAACAGGAATAGATGGAGCAGTGGCGGACAATGAGCCCCGGGGGGTGTTATCGGGGGTGACGGCCGGAGTAGAATCCGGCGTCGGGTTTACAGAGAAGATATCCCCATCATTGAATAAATAGTAATCATTGGTAGGATCACAGGGAATGTCGGGAAAGAAGCTGGGGTAGTGCCATTGAGATATGAACATTTCATCGTTGAGATCTTCGAATTCATCCCCACTACCGAGATCAAGTCCATTGATTATTTCAGGGGCAGCACCGCTCGGTAGTAATGGGCTCGCTTTTATGGGTGTTGGAGGCGGAATACCATTCTCAAGCTCACGGACGATAGCGTCCTCCTCTTCGCCTTCGATATCTTCATCATCTCCGGCATCAATATCTTCGTCTTCCTCAGTATCAATTAGTACCCCACCTTCATCATCCTCGATCAAACTAAGATCTCCGTCGGTGAACGGGGCGATATCACCGGTGTCATCACCGATAGGACCAAATAAGGAATCGGAAGGCTCCAGTATGTCATCGGTTTTGGTGATGTCGAAAGCGACTTTTTTGTTTGGATGGTTCTGCTCAGGGCCATTTTCTGTCAATTCGCCAATATCTGCAACGAGCGACCGCTTTCTCGAGCCTTGCCCCGCCCGGTGATCTCCATTGGCAGCTGTGCTATCCTGTCTACCGTTTCCGACGGTAGATTGATCACCCGGAAATAGCTTCATGCCGGTGGTATCTTCACCAGTCACCCGGACGGGGCGATTGACAGCCGGCTCGTCCGCATCATCCGCATCTTCGTCATCGTCCGTCTCTTCATCGTCTTGGCTACCCGAACTATCAGATGAAGAATCAGTCTCCTCCTGGTCACCCCCTCCATGCCCACTTTTCCCACTCCTTCCATCCTTCCAGCTACCACCCGCTGATCCCGGACCCAATCTAGATGATTCTCGGCGATGACGTTTTGTGTGTGATGTCTGATTAGGGATATGTTCGTGGAGAATGTATGGGTTGTTCAGAGCCAACGACTCCCCGGCTGGGAGTGAAGAATTGTTGGTCCTCGAAGGCAGCGAAGTGAGGCCGGCCACAGTGTTTGGTACTGTTTTTCGAGACATCCTACCGTGTATAAAAGAGAATCGAGGAATTGGTTGGTGATAAATATATTCGATACAATCGTTGTGTGTGGGGGTGTATATCGTACGAATGAGATTTTTGTGTTGTTGGTTATGGTTGCCGCCGGTTTACGGTGGACAGGGTTGAGGTGGGAGTGGATGTGAAATTTTTTTTCTTCGGTATTTTTTGCCCGCCTGGTTTCCGCCAACAGCCCCAATTTCCGGGCGAGAAAAAATAATTTGAAGCTTCCGTCGTATGTGTGATGTCCCAAATGTTACAGGACGTTCTCCCTCAATGGATGGTGCTTATCCTATAAGTTTCGAGGAACACCCTTCTCTCTAATCGGTAAGAAATAGAGGATCAAAGGTATCGTCGTTTTTGTCGTCTGTTCTTGTCAATCGCTGGAGCTGTTAGGCTGGGAGTGTGTTGTGCAACACCCCCAGAGTGATTTACAACTCAACAGTGATGTTGGCAGCCTGTGACATTTTGGGTGATGACGATAGTGTATTTGGAAATTTGAGTAGTTGGGTTAAGAAATGTTTGCGGGTAGTCTGAATGAAGCTGGGTGGATGAGGGTGGGAGGTGAAGGAAGTGTGGAAGAAGAGAGGTGAGAGAAGTCTATGTGGGCCAATTTTCGCGAGGCTCCAGGTGCCAGAAAACTCTGAGCACCATCGTTGCCCACCTCTACCAGTGCTCCCACCACTTCTCACCACCCACGACAGAAACGGTGGACATGGGGGAAACCAGAAAAAAGGAAAAAAAAAATCTGGTATTCCCCACACTGCCGTGCTAGAGCTGCCGGCCATGAAAACCCGACCGCTTTCTTGGCTACCGGTAGGGGAGTAGGGTTCAGTACCGGTAGGACTGTTCAAAGTAGTTGTACGATACAGGTGCCACTGCACAGTTCTTTATTCTCTTCTCAAGAATAATTTGATTCAATTGGACTAATAATACACAGCACGGCAATAATAGGGTAAAGCATAGAGTCCCTTTGCCCCTTCTATGCTTTCACCCCTACCCGACTCCATGGACGGCGGCAAACAGAGGGAGCAAACAAACATTCTTACCGGTCTCACTCGAGAGGCATCGACTCCTCTGTGAGCCAATTTTCCTTGTCGATTGGTGCCCCAACTCGGATATAATCTACTGAATTCATCTCTACTCCAATACACAATAGTCCCATTGTTGCATGCAGGAAGGCTTGCAGCTCGTCCTCTACCAAATCACATCTTTGTGGTTCTCAAAGGGGTGGGGAAGAATTGAAGATTAGGGGTGAAAGGCAAGGTTTGTCAGTGATGGCGCCCAACGCTCTGAAAGACTCATCCCTCACCCGTCATTGCATTTACTAGTGCCCAAGTCACACATGGTTAGTCAGTAGTTTTCGTCTCTACAAGTGCAGCTAGATCATCCGAGAGGTAGAGAGTGTGTGGAAATCCACACAACAATTAGTGGTTGGGGGACGAAAATAACGACGTCAATTGATATCGATCGGGCTCTAGTTCAGATCATTACTATCCTCGGTGAAGTGTTGTGACTTGTGAGCGAGCGAGGAGAGTCAAAATATTACAGTATGTGCTACCCAAAACGGCCACTGCCTACCACAAAGTGCCGCCCTGTTTTTGTTTTTTTGTTTTTCCTTTTTTTCTCGTGCCCCCCGCACCCACGCACACACACAAATGTGACTTCTTTTTGCTTCCCAGTCCCACAAATCTTTCGGTAAAGGAATAACTTGAATAATAATAATATTATTATTGTTACTTGTATCATGATGCTATATTATGGTATCGCACTCGAGTATCATGCTCATTTTCTGCCCCAGTGACTGAAGCGCTGACCATGTTGCATCATGTATGCTTTGCAATTCTCGTTTTGGTTTGAATGCGAGCGCTTTTATGTGGAGGAAGAAAAATGATAATAATATTAGTATAATACCAAGTGCACTATGATAGGAATTAGCTAGAATGACATTGGTCCTACCATTCACGGTTAGGATGGGGAAAAACGACGACAGGCGAGCGAAAGAAAAAGCGCTCGCACAGCCAAAAAGGGAAAGGAAGTGAATTAGCCAACAAGGCTATGATGTAACTCGACGCGGTGATGAACTTTCAAAACCCCTGATTATCCCTATGCATCTTCACGATTGGCTAGAAACAAACCTCCCTCCGCTTCCTGGGGATATTCCCAAAACTTTTTTCTTTTCTTCCTCTTTTTTTCCTTTCCCTGTCAAAATGGTAGATGCCGCCTGTTTCACAACATCCTCCAGCATAGTTTTATCTCTTCCCGAATATCGGGCTTTTTGATCACGTTTGGTATCGTCAGCCGGAAGCGTGGCATGCTGGATGGAGGCCAGGGCCGGGGCTTACTTGCCGGTGCTCATTTTGCATCTTCACGATTGGTATCCCGGTCCGTCCCACACTTCCCAGGACTTTGGGGGTTAATTAGAGAGAGGGCAAACTCCATTTGCAGCTCGCTGCTCCCTGGAGAAACTCCTCAAAAAGCGGTGAGGCAGCGTTTCCTGAGGAATTGGCCCGCCTGGGTCCGATTCTCCAATGGTTATGGCGCACTGGCCATTGGTATGGATGCTTTGGCCCTCGTCGCACAGTAAGCCTTGCCAAGGCATGATACCATCCCTCCCATAAGAGTACTTTTCTTTACATCCCTGGCTAATAGTACTGTATCAGAGTGAAGGGCTCAACGCACAGGTACAACTCTAAAACCACCTCCGAATGTCGAACGTATGATTCAAGCTTCCCCTAAGATCCTCCTGTGCTATCATGCACATCAATCTCCTTCGATTGTCCCATACGTGCACCCACTTCCCGCGGTGAAGCGTGAAAAGGGCTTGAACCACGATACATATTCCATACATATGCAACGAAGCCCGCAATTCCAACACACTCGCTACTACACCGAATCCCCCCGGTTTCTGCTTTCTGTTTTTGCCCCCAGTTCGCAATAGGTCTTACCCACACGTGCCTTCTTTCTATTAATCCGGAGCGCTGATATGGTCCCCGCTTAGAAATTGCAGATTTGGTTAGACGTTTCAAGAATATGCATGCATGCTATCCGCCCTCTACTTGTACTCGAGTACTCTATGTAGGAGGGTGGGAAGGACAAGCTAACGTACTAGTACTGTACGCTATTTCTGTCGCGGCTGTGGTGGTCTACCGTAACCTCTTTTCTTGTACTTTTTTCTTGTTTATTTCATCAGATTTTTCAGCAACTCTCGAGGGCACCGTCGATACCACTACCGGTACTACATCTTACTTCAGGGTGTAATTAGACCGCCGTCACCATATGGTAGGATACCGGCGGGAGTCCTTTTTGACCCCCTCTGGTTTCACTAAAAGCAGCTTAGGCTCGCGTGCCCCTCTTCCCAAGAGATCAATTATGGTACAGCTCAACTTCCAAACGAGCACGGACACGTACTCCAAATTGGACCCTCAATTTACCCCTCCCTTCCTTCCAAAAGTAAAAGTTTTCATCTGGACTTACCCCGCCGCACTTGTCGGGTATCTATCGTGATCTTGGCAATAAGATTCACAAAAAACCTATTTTCGTGGCGATTTTTTCCTTCCCACCCCTCCCCCCTTATTAATACCTCTCTAATAATTCCTCCTCTTCTACCTCCTCTCTAGGACAAAACCACGTCCCATTCCTTTCCCACCTTTTCTTTTTCCATTTTTTCCTTGGGTTTTTTTCTTTGCTTTTCTCCGCGGGGTGAGACGGATGCCCCAGACCGCACGCTACGGTACCATACTCGAGGACAGTTCTCGTACAGTACTCTCACCCACTGTTCCCTCCGCTAGAGGGAAAAATGGGGGTACGGGTACAAATTGGTAAGAAAAAAAAGGTATTTCCTTGCACCTATCTAATATACTTACGATATCATTGAATCGGACCTTGAGCTGGGAAGGTCCCCGTCTAAAAACAGGTGTTTCGAAAGGGTGAGAAATTCCCAATATAGCGAAGTTACATCGACGATGTGAAAAAGACTCCCAGCTTGGGTAACTTCGCAAACGAATTAACCAGCTATATAGTGCTCCGCCTCGCCGTCGCCATCATCATACTAAGCAAAGCCTTGTCAATCCGTCGCCTAGATTTTAACGAGTGTGCGTTAGTATACGAGTATTGATCGAGCATTTCATCTTTGAAAAACTTGATCAACAAAGTATGTTTGCAGTGGCGGCTGTCTGCTTGGCTTCCTGTTCGGCGGTAGTCTATAGGATACGGTAGTGTGCTCGCACTTGGGCATTGATCAAACACGTAACGCACCCAACTTACTGTACCAATTAACCCCCGGTGTTCTTATACATAAAGTGCTCATAGATCCACATAATCACCCTCACCCCCTCCCTTCGCTCTCTCTATCTCTCTTTCTCGAGAGAAGCCCCAGGAACTTCTGATAAACAGGGGTATCATAGCATGCCACGAACGGAAAAAACGCCACGCCATATAGTGCTATGACGTGCCATAAAGTATAATACAGTATGATAAACCTGCCCACCACGCGCGAGCAGAATCTGGAATAAAGGTGAACGGGGTATGTACATGCTCCCCATAATGAAAGGAATTTGTAAGTTGTGGATCCGGACATGTGGGCGCAAGCTAGCCTACCTGGGTATGGTACAGTAGTCAACTCCACACGAAGCGCGCCACAGTGAGAAGATAGTACTGTATTGTAAATGCAGGTAGTCATGGGTCATCACCCGGGCCTTTCGCTCATCCGATGTTTTGTCTTTTGGAGGAGATCGAATGGACAAATCGGGGGGCGGTGGAGTGGACTGAGTTAGTTGGACGGTATGGTTTGGCTTTGGGGGGAGGGGTTGGGAGGTGAGGTGTATGTAGGAGCGGATACGCTTGCCGTCTGGCAGTGGATTTGAGAGATTGGGAGGGGGAGAGGGGAAAATCTCGATTTTATATTACTCGGGTGGTGTACCGTAAACAAGGTCGAGATATGATACTTGCTTGGTGTGTTAGGTTGCGTACCGCTATGGCATAGGTGTGACAGGAGGCTGCGGGGTGAGCTGGTGCGGGAGTGGGGGGAGGAGATGAGTGAGTTCTATCATAGCTTTTTATTATTATTATTATTTTTATGCACCCTTCATGATTGGTCACTCGGTTTTGGTTGATGCTTCTTGTTGAAATGGTTACTTCAATGTGACGGAAGCATGTTGAATATGGCAAATCGGGACTTGGAACACTGTATATAGAAACCTCTGATGGGTATAAGTATGGCGCACTGGAGAAACAAATAAGAACGAAGTCAATTGCATTCCTAAGAAGCCACTGTCTTTATCTCCAACAGCCTCTCTGTCTCACAAGTCTTTACCTCTCTTCATTTCCACATTCTCAGTTGTGATACCTTCATTGACCGACAACACTTCTAGTGAAAGTTTGTGGCGCACTGTGATTATGAATTTTTTTTTTTTACGATAGGACGCGGTGAGGTATCATAACTTGCCCTAAAATCTCACCAGACACTGCCAACTGGACCGGTAATATGAAAAAATTCCTAAGGTTCCGATAGGTGGGGGTG